GGGGAGGACGGGGGGGAGGCCCGGAGGGCGGGGGTGGGCGGCGGGCCCCGGCCTCCTTGGGAGGAGCGCGACGATGGCCTCTTCCTCGGTCTGGGGACTGTGCCTTCGAGGAATCATCTTCGTTTCGCTGGATAAAAGACTTATGCTATTCTAGAACATTATTCCCGTACTCGCTGTTTTACGTATTCTTGTCGTTATAAAATTATCAGGGGCCTTGGAAAAAGTGCAGATTCCCAGGTTCACACCCAGACGTCCCGAACTAGAGGGTTGGGGCCCAGAGGTCTGTATTCCAACCTAGGCAGCTTGGGCGCCACACCTTGGGAGCCGCTTAGGCTATCTGATGGGCTTTCCCAGCGATTCCGTGGGAAGGTTATTGGTATAATCTGCGTACTCCGTTTTGCCAACGGAGTCACTGAGGCCACGAGAAACCAGCCAGGACTCACTGTGCTGCTTCCAGTGGAGCCCTGATGGGGCCAAAGGGTCTGCGCTGAGGATTTGGAAGGAAGCGTGGGATGTGTAGGCCTATAGGCTTCTCCTGTTTCTGGACGCTTTAGTAGCAGGAAACTGTGTTGAAGACACAGCAGACACTTGCGGCCCATCGTGGGCGGGCTGGGTGACTCAGGCACAGAAGGGGAAGGACCCTCCAGGGTCCATGTCTGTGGCCACACGGTCCCCGGGGCTAGTGGACGCTGTTGTCTGGACTCAGAATTCAACAGTTCCTGTTCCTGATGAGAGGGCTTTGCTGGCAGAATCTAAAACCGTTTCTGTTGTTGTTTTGTAAAATGTTCGGCTTGTTTTGGGTCCTTAGTGAAGCACCTTCTTGATACTCGGTTTCCTTTACCATGGTCTCCATTCTCTGCTTGTCTGTGATGTTCGGTGCCGGCTTCGCCAAGTGGTTCCTTTTCTTTCTCCCAGCCCTTGTCTACGGAGGGTCCTCAGAGATTTCAGTGTGGGACTGTGACCTCACTGGTGAGGGCTCCCGGACCGGTTTCTGGTGGCGAGCACAGCTGCGGCACTCTAGGCACATCCTCTTAAGGCAGTGGATGATCTAGCTTTTTCCCATCCTTCCTGCCTCACGATGACCAGACCCCAGGTTGTGAAACCTTCAGATGGTTCCCCTGTTTTTCTGCCTCTGTGTGCAGACTTTTGCGAGAGTGTAACTTCTCCTCTGTCTGGTGACAGTCCTGCTATGAGCTCTGTCTCTGGTTGGTTTTATTGCAAGGACTTCCTTGTTTGGAGACGTCTTTTCTGTGGGATTGTTTCCATCCTATCACTCTCTCAGGGTGATGGAGCAAGTGCTGCTGTGCGCCAGGCATGGTGCTGTGCACTCGTGTGACCATCATAGCGAATCTGGATTTCCTAGTTGAGGCACAGTGCCACAGGTAACTTGCTTGGAGGTCACACATCTCGCACATGGTGGAGCTGGGGTCCCAGCCGAGGACGTCCACCGCAGGGTCGGAGATCCTCACGCCACATGGCCCCCTGCATGGCAGTCCCAGTCACAGGCTTCCTGTTGGCCCCTGTCTCTCTGGCTGCACTGTTGTCACCTGTGATTCTTCCATTCTGGCCACATCTCTCTGTCCGACGGCCCTGGTACAAATCATTTCCTGGTCTCGGCCAAGCCGTTGTCTCCAAATAGCCTGGATGACGTACCTCGGATGAGCCAGCGCACCCTAGGCCGGGTTCTGTGCCCTCGGCCGCATCCACGGCATGTGTGCATCCTGCCTCAGTGTCTGGTGTGTGCGGCAGCCCACCTGGGTTGCATGTCTGCTGCCTCCTGCTTCTCCCTGTGTCCGAGGGCTTCTGCTGACCACGGCGTCAGCATCCTGGAAGCCTGCAGTAGGTGCCCCAGAGGTCTGGAAGTGGGTTGTCTGGCACGCTAGGAGCAGCAGGTGTGGTGTGAATGGTCGGGGCAATTAGTAACAAAACCACGTTTATCGCTTGTAGCCGAGGCCCGGAAGGCAACGAGTGAAGTCAAGAAACACTAGCTCCTTAGTGTCCAAGCTCGGAGGTCACCTTCCGTTGTGCCGGTGACAAGGTGACAGGAGTAGGTAATCTGTGTTATGTTTCTTAGTGTTCAGGAGTTCATGACCTTCACGAGTCAGCTGATCGTGGAGCGCTCGGCCAAGGGCAGCAGAGCTTCAGTCAAAGAACAAGGTAAGAGGACCGCCCCCTCCCTGGTGTGCACCCCATCACGCCTCAGGCAGCCCGTGGCTCTCTGCACACTGCCGGCCTGCCCCTCTTCCCTCCTCTTCCTTCTGCTTGCACACGATGCTGAGCCCACTGCTGCCATCTGAGCCGCCCAAGTCAGTGTGCCCCTGTAGCTCACACCTGCTTCAGGTGAGGGTCTGACTCTTGGAGCTGTATGTGGCCTTCCTGAATCCTTCTCTTTCCCTCCAGAGCTGGACACATCTCAAAAAAGGATTTGCAACCAGCCCTGTTGAGGTAATACCGTGTCCTGTGCTCCTTAGGTTTTGGACCAGGAATCCGAAAACTCATCCTGTTTTTCTCTCGGCCAGTATTTTTACTTGTTCACAATTCAGGTTTCCCATGAGAGTCTTCAGGCTTTTATCGTAGAGGCATATGTTGTACAGACCGATAAGGAAAGACAGACGTGTCGTGAAGACACATCACGTGAACCTCACTGGGCGGAGACGCCCGTTGCACGGTGCTGCCCTGGTCTTGTGACCTAGAGGCCCGGTCACCATCCTGGTGGTGCGTCTGTTCTGCATGAGATCCTGGTACCCTTCACGACGCAGGAGTGAAATTGGATTGTGAACATGGAAATAGTCTGGTTTCCTCAGGCCATGTCTGCCTTCCTAGGTTTCTTAGAGATGTTCCATCTGCACTGGTCCAGCGTCTCCAGTTCTGCGGATGCATGCATTTCGGTTCACCTTTGAACCTTTCTTATATGGGAGTGCAGACAAAGCCTGGAGAGTGTCGGTGATGGTCCTGTCCCCCACCCCGCTCTCCTTTATCTCTGCCCTTTCTTGATTGCAGAGCTCACGATCTCCCCTTCTCCCCTTTCGTTGTTTTTGTTTGTTTGTGCCAGGGTCTGGTGCTTGAGTGTCTTAAGGACAAGAAGCTTCTTATTTGTCAGCTGTTGCCCTCACATCCCTTTCACTGCGGGGTGTGGTTAGCTGCATCGTCTTCGAATCCTTTGTAAAATGACAGAAATTCATATCCTAGTTAATGAATGTTTTGCAGAAGCTCTTGTACAGACTGTACCTTTGGATAACTTGATGGCTTTGGCACAGGAATCCATAGGCAGCAGGGACTCATGTTTTTGTAGATGGACCTTCTCTCCACTGTCCTCCCCTCTCCTCTCCCTGCCTTACGCCCTCCAGTCCAGCACAGAACACAACAGGCCAGGATTCCCGTAACGAGGAACCTGAGGCCCCGAGAGGTGATTTCCTGATTCGGGGACACTTTTATAGGAATGTTTAAATTTTTTTTATATTTATTTTTGAGAGAGAGCAAGAGAGCGCGTGCACGAGTGTGGGAGGGGCAGAGAGAGAGGGAGACACAGGGTCCGAAGCAGGCTCCAGGCTCTGAGCTGTCAGCACAGAGCCCAACAGGGGGATTGAACCCACAGACCGCGAGATTATGACCTGAACTGAAGTCACATGCTTAACCGACTGAGCCACCCAGGTGCCTCTTTTTTTTTTTTTTTTTTTTTTTTTTTTTTTTTTTTTTTAAGTTTATTTATTTTAAGAGCAAGAGGGAGAGCAGGGGATAGGCAGAGGGAGACACAGAATCTGAAGCAGTCTCCAGGCTCTAAGCTGTCAGCACACAGCCGGACGTGGGGCTCAAACCCACAAGCTGTGAGATCATGACCTGAGCCGAAGTCTGACACTCAATTGACTGAGCACCCCAGGCAAGCGCATTGAGATTTTTTTAAGAAATTGGAGGCTATTTGTCTCTTCCGGGGTCTCTTCAGCTTGGAAACAGAATGGAGCCTGAGACATGCAGTTCCCTGAGTTGCAGGCAGGCCTGATCTAGAGCTCAGGATGGAACTTAGAAACACACCTGGGACCGTGTTGCCTGGGATATTTTCTGCTCCCCTGGCTTTGCACACTGGGCCCCTGGGCCTTGGCTCGTCCTAAAGCAGACATTGGGTCATGCTGGTGTCAGAGCTCCATTATGCACTGTTCGTGCAAGCTTCATTGATCCAGAAGGCAAGGGCTCAGCATTGTGATGCTTTGATGATCAGGGCTGAAAACGTCTAAGGGCCTCAAGTCACCACATGCGTGTCTGACTTCTCCTCAGAATATCTGTGCCACGTCTACGTGCGAAACGACAGCCTTGCAGGGGTGGTCATTGCTGACAGTGAATATCCCTCCCGGGTGGCCTTTACCTTGCTGGAGAAGGTGAGTTTGCAGTGTGGCTGGACTGGGCTCGGATCGACAAGTGGGGTCAGTGCCCAAGTTACAGGGGATGAAGTAGTGTGTCCCAAATAAACCCATTTTCAGCCGTTTTTTCTTGGTCCTAAACCAAGAGACAGTCTGGCATCCCTTCCCAGTTCTTTCCCTGGCACTGATTTCTGCCTGTCATCCCTCCTGTGTCTGGGTTCATGTCCCCAAGTGCCACCTTGACTCACCCTGTCTGCCTCAGCATCACAGCCTACTCCTAGGATGGGCTCTAGGGCCAGCTCTGGCTGTGTTCTTGCCCCTGCCAGTCCTCTGGCCACTCTCTTCCTGCCTCTGCCCTCAGCAATGGTGATCGTGGCTCCTCTGAGCCACACTGGACTCTGTGCCCTGCTCTGTGGCTGCCTCCCCTCCGTCAGGCTGTCCCTGCACACAGTGGGCCCTCCCACCTCCGTGCTTCTGCCCGTGCTGCAGTGATGGGCACTCCTTCCCCACATGGGTCCAGCACCTGTGCGTCCATCAGTCCTTTAAGCAACACTTACCGTAAACCCCTGTTTACGGGCTCTGGCCCCTAGCCTCCCACAGTACAGTGCACTTACAAGCCTGTGAAATCTGGTGGTCACTTAAATCGGAAGGATCCAGTTCCCTTTTGAAGAACTGTTTTGGAAAATGAGAGGGCCAGTACCTTTTATTCTAGAATTTTATGGCCGCGTCAAAGCAGAAATCTTTAGTTTAAAATTCAGATGCTTTTATCATTCTCCAGATGAAGTTCATCTCAGGCTGGGTACAGTTCGTATTTAATTACCAGAATACTTGTAATTCGAGCTTCAGTGTGCCCCTGGCCACTAGCTGTCCTCCTCTTCCCTCCTCCCAGGCCTGCCAGCCTCTCTTGGGTGAGGCTGTCCATTGAAGCCCTGTAGCTGTGGTGGTGCTGATGCACTCTTCTGTCTTGCAGGTACTAGACGAATTCTCCAAGCAGGTGGACAGGATAGAGTGGCCAGTCGGATCCCCTGCTACAATTCACTACATGGCCCTAGATGGCCACCTCAGTCGATACCAGGTAGGGTGTCTAATCGCCCTGAGGAGAGGCCGTGTGGCACAGGAAGGCCGGCAGCCCTGATGGCCGTGGCTGTAGGTGACTCCAGGCAGCCTTGGTGTCGACATCCCTCTGAAACATCCAGGGGCCCACATTAAGACCTGGAACCTGAGCCCCGCAGCAGGCTTCCATTTCTCTGTCCTGTGTTTAAGCAGCCTGAGGGTTTTTAACTTGGGAAAGTGTTTCTAGCTCAGTTGGGTTGAGCTTTGTTTCCAAATGGTCCTGATGTTATTCTTGGCTCTTCCCCTAGAACCCCCGAGAAGCTGACCCCATGAGTAAGGTGCAGGCTGAGCTGGATGAGACCAAAATCATTCTGGTAAGCAGAGCGGGGGCCAGCATGTCCCAAAGCTGGGGGCAGAAAGCCTGGTGGCCACCGTGCACACCATCAAGGCTTGTTGGGAGTCCTAGTCCAAGCGCTTTCCTT